TCATAACCATCTGTAACTCCAGCTCCAGGGGAATCTGCTGCCTCTGACCTCCAAAAGTCATATACTTTTAATACTCAAATCTATTCCATCATAATTAATCCTAAAAGGCTCAACTTGTTCCAATATCAACTCTAAAGTTTGTTCTAAACATCATTCAAATCAGAAATAAGTGAAATTCAATGTATAATTCATCCAAAGCTAAAGTTTCTTTATGACTCTGAATATATAAAACCAAAGTTACATGCTTTCAAAATACAGTGGTAGGAAAGATATTCCCATTCTAAATGGGAAAAAACAGGGGTATGAAGGGAGAATGTAGCTTTCACACAAGTTCATAGCTCAATGCTTCTTAAAATTTGTCTATTCATGACCCCTTTCCAGATGAGAAATTTAAACAAATCTAGGGGTATAGGTATATAAAACAGGCATATAGGTATATAAAACATGTATGGAAATTAAAAATTTGCTAATAATAAATTATAATGAAATTAAAAAATTTCTTGTTATACATAAAATATTTTATTCTGAGCCAAACATGAATGGCCATGGCCCAAAAACCATTATTCTAGTTATTCAGATTGTCATGTTTTGCCTTGTAACAGGCTATGTGAACTTTTATGCTCACAAAGAAATACATAGTTAGAAAGACAAATATAGCAAGTTTTCTCTCAAATACATAATATAGATTTAAATTGTGTGTATGTTATATGTGTGTATGTAAGTATACTGATTGATTTTTGTCAGCTTTATAAAAACCTAGACATATCTGGGAACATGGACTCTTATTTGAGAATATGCCTCTATAAGACTGGCCTGTAGGCAAGTCTGTGGGGTATTTTCTTGATTAATGACTGATGTGGAAGTGCCTTGCTTATTGTGAGTGATACCACCCTGGTCAGGTGGTTCTGGATGTTATAAGAAAGCAGGGTGAGCAAGCCATGGTCAGAAAGCCACTAAGCAGCATTGATACTGCTTTCAGGTTCTTGCCTCGGGTTCCTGTCCTTTCTTGGATAATAGACTGTGGTGTGGAACTCTAAGATCAAATAAATCCTTTTCTCCCCATGTTGCTTTTGGTCATGTTTTATCACAGCACTAGAAACCATAGCTAAGACAGTAGACCATGAAACAGAGAAAGGATTTCAGATGAGGGGAAGAGATCTAAATGGAGGCAAGAAGACAGATCAAGAGAGAGTAATGGCACACATATGACATGAAAGCAGAAGGGACACTACTTGAGGGGAACAGCAATAGGAGAGACAGTAGGGGAGCAGAGAAGAACCAAGTCAATTGATAAGTGTATGTGAAATGACATAATTAAATCCATTACTTATTTATTTATTTATTTATTGGTTTTTTTGAGACAGGGTTTCTCTGTGTAGCTTTGCATCTTTCCTGGAACTCACTCTGTAGCCCAGGCTGGCCTCGAACTCACAGAGATCCGCCTGCATCTGCCTCCCGAGTGCTTGGATTAAAGGCGTGCACCACCACCGCCTGGCTGAAATCCATTACTTTTTATGCCAAAAATTAATAACAAGAAAAAAGAAAAGAAAGATATGGATCAATGTGGACTCACTGGGTAGGTACACTGCAGTATGGCAGAGAAATCTATAAGATAGAGCTATTGTATTTATCACATCCTTGTTATATTAGTCAGTCTTTTCTAGAGGAACAGAACTGATATCATGAGTTCTTAGAATGGATTATAGGCTGTGGTCCAGCTAGTCCAACAATGGCTGTCTACCAATGAAAGGTCCAAGAACCCAGTAGTCATTTAGTCCACAAGGCTGGGTGTCTCAGCTGGTTTTCTTTATAAGCTGGAATCCTGAAAAAGTGGGCTTTAATGCCAGTGAAGGAGTGGACTCGTCAATGAGAGCAAACTGGCAAAGAAAACAAGCTTCCTTCTTCCATGTTCTTTATATAGGCTGCCAGCAGAAGGTGTGGTCCAGATTAAAGGTGGATCTTATGACCCCAAAAGATGTAGACTAGAAGTGGGTCTTCCCACTTCAAATGATTTAATTAATTAAAAAAAATTCCTCACAGGTGTACCCATCTGCTTGGGTTTTAGTTGATTCCAGATGTAGTCAAACTGACAACCAAGAACAGCCATCACTCTTGTGTACCCACCAGAGCGGCAGTCCTTCCTCTATAGCTGTGTCAGGTGAACAATCCATTCCCAGGGTCTTTCTATGGAGAGTCAACTCACTATGTATTTGGGAAGCCCCACCTCACATCTTTTGCTGTGGATCTTCTGACTTGTTGGAAACAAAGTGATGATCTTGGCTATTATTTGTATGTGAAATGTCCTCCTACAGTCTCATATTTTGAACTTCAGTTCCCAGGTTCTGGTAGTGTTTGACAAGTTGTAGCTGCCGGGCAGTGGTGGCAAAAGCCTTTAATCCCAGCACTTGGGATGCAGAGGCAGGCAGATCTCTGTGAGTTGGAAGTCAGCCTGGTCTACAAAGAGTCAGCCAGGACTATTACACAAGGGAACCCTGTCTTGAGAAACCAAAACCAAATCCCTCCCCTCAAAAAGAAGAAGTTTTAGCACTTATAGGAAATTCAGTCTAGCTGGCAAAAGTGGATCACGGGGGAGCAGGCTTTGAAGTTATAGCTGTTCCTGCTTCCTGGTTAACTCATGTATCAAGCTCTCTCTGTCTCCTCGTTGACTTATATATCAAGTAGCTCCTTCAGGATCCCACTGCCATGGGACCAACTGCTATAGTTGTCTTGCCTTCCATGCTATAATAGTATGGAATCATAAACCAAATAAATCTCTGATCCTTCAAGTTGTTTCTGTCAGACATTCTATTACAGCAATGAGACTAGTAATGAACAGAGTCTGCCTTTTGAAAACAAAGAACACTGATGGTCTCTGAAACTCTTTCTGAATCATTCCTTTGTCTTGAAAAGTACACTATGTTTACAGACAAATAGCTCTGTGTCCTGTCCTATATATAATCTTAGAAGTTCAATAGCCTTTCCTCATTCTTTAGGTTCTAACTGGCAGTTCTCTTGATGGGACCATCTGATTAAATTTCTGCTTCACAAGGTGGGCATGGTGGCAGATGCCTTTAATCCCAGCACTCAGAAGAGAGGTAGAGGCAGGCAGATCTCTATGAGTTCAAAGCCAGCCTGGTCAACATAATGAGTTTCAGGAAAGCCAGGGATATGTAGAGAGACCCTTGCTGTGGGATGTCTTTCGGTACACTGTGAATATGTGTTGCTCTCATTGGTTGATAAATAAAACTGTTTGGCCAATGGCAAGGCAGAATAAGGTTAGGTGGTACATTCAAACTGAAGATTGGGATGAAGAAGGGTGGAGTCAGGCAGACACTGCAAGCCACACCAGGAGAAGCAAGATGTGAAAGAACAGGTAATACCATGAAGCCATATGACAAAACATAGATTAATAGAAATGGTTGAATTAAGATACATGAGCTAGTAAATAATGAGCCTGAGCCATAGGCCATACAGTTTATAATTAATATAAGCCTCTGTGTGTTTACTTAGGACCAAGTGGCTGCAGGACCAGGCGGGACACAGGAAACTTCTAGCTACAGACCCTGTCTTAAACAAACAAACAAAATTCTGTTTCACAACTGTTTTAGTTTCTTTTTCCTGTTACTGTGATAAAATATTCTAACAAAATCAATAGATGGGAGAAAGAGCTTATTTTGGCTCACAGTTTAAGGTTACAGTCCATCATGGCAGGGAAGACAAAGCAGCAGGAATCTGAAGCAGAAGATCATACCACATCTACAGGCAGGGAACAGTGATAAACGCATGCATGTTAGTGCTCGGTACACTTTCTCTATTTATATAGTCCAGGATCCTTTGCCCAAGGAATGTTTTTGATCACAATTAATGTATCTTCCCATATCAATTAACATAACCAAAGTAATTACCTCCCATGGGCATGCCGGTCTCCCAGATGATTCTAGAACATGTGGACAATTAACACTAATCATCACAACACCTGTCTTAGTTACTTTTCTATTGCCGTGACAAAACACCATGACCAAAGCAACTAAGAAAAGAAAGCATTCAATTTGGGGATAATGGTTCCAGAGGGTTAGAGTCCATGACTATCATGGCAAGGGGCATGGCACAGGCCGGCAGGCATAACAAACAGGCAGTGGCTGAGAGCACACAACAGATCCACAAGCCAAGGCAGACAGAGAGAGCAAGGTAACTCACTGGGAATGAGTGAAATCGCAAAGCCTACCTAGCTACACAACTCCTCCAACAAGGCCTAGCTCCCAATCATTCCCAAACAGTTCCACCAGCTGGGACCCAAGTATTTAAGCATTATAAGCCTATGGTAGCCATTCTCATTCAAACCAGAACATTATCTGTGAATAACAATCCTTTAATCTGCTGTACTGTGGGGACATACGCTTTTAATACCATCACTCAGGAGGCAAAGGAAGGCAGATCTCTGAGTTCCAGGGCAGCCAGGGCTACGCAGGGAAACCCTGTCTCAAAACAAAACAAAACAAAACAAAACAAAAAACCAAAAAAACCCTTTAGTCTTGTTTTCAATTAGACAGATTTTATTTAAAAATGATTAAAAGTTGCTTAAGGGGCTGGAGCGATGACTCCAAAGGTTAAAAGCACTGGCTACTTTTGTAGGGCATCTGGATTCAATTTTCAGTACCAACATGGCAGCTAACAACTGTCACTCAAGTTCTAGGGGATCTGATGTCATTCCAGTTCCAGGGGATCTAGCACTGTCTTCTTGTCCTGTGTATATTACACAAATATGGTATACAGACACATGTAGACAAAACATTCATAACATAAAATACAAATATAAACTTTTTAAAGTCACTTGATAAGATCTGTGCACAAAATTTGCTGCTTTTCCACAGTGAGATTATGTTGTCAGGGTCTGATGCAAAATGACAGTGATGTCACAAACCCAAGACCAGCCTGAAGCAGTTCAGATACAGCAGTAACCTTAGCCAAAGAAACATTCTGACCACACTATGGCCGTGAAGGTTCGTATTTATGTCCTATTCTTGTTCATTTGGACAATCAATTGTTTAAATAGAAACCACACTAATGAATCATCTACTATCACTACCACCACCACAGGTATGTGCTAAGGCTTAATGTTTAAAATGTATTATCTGCCGGGCGGTGGTGGCGCACGCCTTTAATCCCAGCACTCGGGAGGCAGAGCCAGGCAGATCTCTGTGAGTTCGAGGCCAGCCTGGGCTACCAAGTGAGTTCCAGGAAAGGCGCAAAGCTACACAGAGAAACCCTGTCTCGAAAAAACAAAACAAAACAAAAAAACAAATAAAATGCATTATCTATTATTAATTTATTGTGTTATTAGGAATGCTAGATTAACAAATATGCTTTTATAATGGTGTCACTATTATGAGGTCTTTAAGACTTCTGAGGACAATAGCTGATATTTTAAGAGCTATGTGAAAATTCTAAACCTAAAGAATACAAACTTATAGTTTCCTTAGACTTGCCTTTAACACCCAGTCTGCCAACCAAACTAGACAACCTTCATGCGAGTATATCTACCATAGGACTTAAGTATCAGGGGTTTGTTTTGATTCGGATTTGGTTGTTGGAGTCAGGTTCTTACTACTGTGTTGTTCAGGCTCATTTCAAGTACCTGGTCTGAAATGACCCTGCATTCTTAACCTCTGAAGTGGCTGTTCCTAATATACCATTGAGTATGATCATGATGTGTTGTTATCCTGTCCTGTTTCCTATCACATACATACACATAGTAACACTCAAATGTACTCATCCATGCACAGCATACGCTCGAAATCTTAGTTACTGCAATAACCAGCCATGATTCAGAGGTAATGCCGATAATGACACAGATTAACTAGAGATACTACTCACATTTGACAATCATAGCCAGGATATGCTCAAGGAAAGAAAATTACATTAGAGGGCTCAGTGGGTAAGGCAATTGCTGGACAAGTGTGATGACTTAAATTCAGAGCTCCAGAACCCACATAAAGCTGAGCAAAATGACAAGTTATGTATAAACCCAGTGTTCCTACAGTGAGATAGGAGGCAGACAGGAGAATCCTCACAAACTCATGAATCAGCTAGCCTGGTTTTCAGTGCAGCAATAAACAACAGAAGAGACCCTGTCTCAAACAAGGTAGAAGACAGGGAAGGACACCCAAGTTGTCCTCTGACCTCCACATGTACATTGAAACATACACTTCTCCATATACAGACAAAACCATTTACACACAATTGTGTACACACACACACACACACACACACATAGAGACAGAGAGACAGAGAGAGAGACAGAGAGAGACAGAGAGATATTTCAAAAAAATAAGATGTGATAGAGGAAAATACTTAAAGTCATCCTCTGACCTCCACATGCACATGCATGGGAAATCACACTTGCATACTTACATGCACACACACAAGAAAATTATAATGAAAACTTTCTTAAACTTCAAAAAAATCACTGAAAGACTGGAGAGATGGCTCAGTAGTTAAGAGCACTTGTTTCTCTTACAGAGGATTCAGTTCAGTTCCTGGCACTTATATGGTGGTTCACAGGCATTTGTAACAACAGTTTCATAGCATCTGACACTCTCTTCTAGCCTCTGCCAGGTCCCAGGCATGCATGGATATGGTATACATAAATGCATCCAAGCAAACACTCATAGATGTAAAATAAATACATTTTCCAAAAAACCACTGAGAAAGACTTTTGACTTCAATGTACAGTGGCAAACCACTCTCAAAGTGGGAGGAAATTGGGTTACCTACCATTTTCTGATGGTACAATCTTTTGCAGTTGATAAAACCACCGGATCAACAGGATCAAGAATGGATGATTTTAGGAAACACCTTCTCAGTTTCGTAGTTGGAATTATGATCATAGCCTTAAACTTTACCTGTTTTTGTTTAATCTATTGTAATTACATGATCAAGGAGGTCCCATCACCAGAAGGGTAAGAGTCACACATTAGAGAATGAAAAGTGTGTGTGTGTGTGTATGTGTGTGGGTGTGTGCATGAGGTATTTGTACACAGGTGTGTGTACACATGCAGAAACAAGAAGAGGATGTCAGGTGTGTCCTGCTCTATCATTTTCTGCCTTATAGCACTGATACAGGGTGTATCACTAAACCTAAATATAGGCTCACAGGCAGGAAGTCCCAGCAATCTTCCTGTCTCTACCTCTCCCTCACACGTGGGACACAGACATGTGCTAATATACACAGCTTTTTACATGGGTTTTAAGTGAAGATCCATGAGAAAGAAAGACATACAAGGGGACAAGCAACTCAAAATTAATCCAAGCTTTTCAAAACTATTTACTTCCGTATGTGTGGGTATTTTTCTATATATGCAAATGTGCATCATGTGCATGCAGGACCCACAAGGGCCAAAAGAAGGCATCAACTACCTTGGAAATGGAGTTAAGGCTTGTTGTGAGCCACAGTGTGGGTGCTGTTAACTAAAACCAGGTTCTATGCAAGAACAGCAAGTACTCTTAATCTCTAAGCCATGTCTCCAGCCTCAATAGTACAGGCTTTTATTTGGGGGAAAGGAAGTTCTTCGGAAGAAGTCTCTGTTGTAAGGAGAGATGGCTTAGCAGTTAAGAGCACTGGCTGTTTGTTTGATTCTCAGCACCTACACAGCAGCTCACAACCATGTGTAACTCCAGGTCTAAGGGACCCACTGTCATCTGGTCCCTACAGGCACCAAGCACTTACATGGTACAAAGACATACATGCAAGCAAAATACCCATATACATAAAATGAATTTTTTTAAGTAAAAGAGTAAGAGCTCACTGTCTGATTACAATCTGGGGTAGTTATGGGACAGAAAATTGGGAGGGTGGTGGCCTGATCTACATAGTGAGTTCCAGGCCAGCCAAGGCTAAAAAATGAGGCCTTGTCTCAAAAAAAAAAAAATCAGCTGGGCGATGATGGCACACACCTTTAATCCCAGCACTTAGGAGGCAGAAGCAGATGGATCTCTGTGAGATCCAGGACAATCAGAGCTACACACAGAGAAACCTGTCTCAAAAACCAAAAAGAAAAAATCAACAAATAAAATCTTTTTATGGCTTACAGCTGGTCATTGACCAGAATAACCAGTGAGCTAGTTAAAGGATGTTAGGTGAGTAATAAATATCTTTCATGGCTGGTCCCTTACTGAAGGTTGATAGAGAAAAGAAGGCAGGAATCTAGAGAAGCAATTTACTTTTGTTCTATAAATTTAAGTTAGTTTCCAAAATTGTCACTGTTTAATTAAAATGTCATGACTATGGATAACATTTCCTGACTTTTGTTTTGATTATATAGGGGAAAAACAGGGAATAATTGTCATTTTTGTATCTTTTGCGGGACAGGGTCTGCATCTCCTCAGAGGGGACATGGGGAAGTCTTCGGTATAGTAAACTTTGGAAGAGGAAGATGATGTAAGGGGAGGGTCCCTTTTCAATAGCCTCCAAAACTATATCTGTTTAATTACCTAACATTTTACCCTTAAGAATTGAGACCCTAAACTCATTTAGAAGACAGATATCAAATCACTCTGTGCACTTTGGAAAAAATTAAGGGTATATAAGGGCTGAGGGTCCCCACTCTGACTGAATTTCATGCATTGGAGATCAATCAAGAGGGCCCAGATAGATGGAGATAGATTGTTGCAGGATCACTTGGGTGTGGATGGACAGTGAGACGGTGGTGTTTGGCATGGTCTTAGTGCAGGTAACTATAGTTACGTGAGTTAAGGATTACGATAGTTGCATCATCGAGTGTAGGGAATGGCCTTTCACCTTACCTTCCAGCTCTTAAATACTTCTGGTCACCTCTTCCACAAGGTTCCCTGATTCTAAGAAGTGGTGGTATAAGTGACTTGTCTGGGGCTAGATCCACATTCATGACTTATTTTCTACATTCTCCGCTGTTCATTGCAAGGAGAGGCTTCTTTGATTAAGGCTGAAGCTACTTTTATCTGTGGGTATACACATAGGTATTTAGAAAGCAGTTTGCTGCTCTATCAGTTTAGTTAACTATCAGAAGTACATTCCTCCTGTGGGTGTACTACCTCCTCTACTTGAATTGTTAGCCAAGCTTACTGGTCCCCTTCCCATCCCCCATACAGAGAATCTAGAACCCATTCAGAGAGCAGTTAGTTAACCCCTGCTACTCCAACAGTCAAACTGTTATTGCATAGGGGGGTATATCTAGCTTTTCAAACAGTTTCTTTATACTCCCTTTATTCCAGTTAATCCTCCTCCATCCCACACCTTCATCTCCTCAATTTCCCCTCTCTCTGCCTCCCTCTCTATCTAAACATTTCTACTCAGAATCCCTTTTTCTTTTTACCTGTGTTCTACTCCCCTCCCTCCCTAAGGTACACAAACTCCCTGCACAATACACATTTGCTTTTTTTGTTTCCTGATCTGCACAGGTACTCCACTAGATATAATGTACTAAAGCTAGGATCCTCATATGAGAGAAAACTAGTGGAATTTGTCCTTTTTATACTGGGTTACTCATGTACAAATCCATCCATTTCCCATGCAAATTTCATTTTTATATCTAAGTAATATTCTATTATACATGTGTACCACATTTTTATTATTATTGACAACTTTGTGTCATTCCATACATGGACTATATGTTATCTAATGCCTTAGAAATAGTAAACATATTCTTTAAGGAAAATTATTCATGAATTCATATGTGTAACACAAGTTACAGGTGTCAGCTCACTGTGGAAAAATATTCATACTTTAAGCTAGCATTATATTTTCTGATGATAGCAATAGTACTTTTGTTTTAAATTATGACACCCTGAGTTTTCTGCATTTCAGGCTCAACAAAGAAAATATGGCAGCTATATCATCCTGGGTACCCAAAGTATCAGCTTGTCAACCTGATATGATACCTGAGGACATTCTACAAACTCAACCTGTGCTATTAAATTAAGACCAGACATCTAGGCCCTCATGTCAAGAAAAACCATCTGTATCAAACAGTGCAGTAAAATCAATTTAGCCTTCAAGTCTAGAAAAGCCATGCATGCCATCCAATGCACAAAGACCAGCGAGATACTCAAATACAGATAAGTCATCCATACAATGCACTGTAAAAAAGTCAAGTAGGCAATTAGATTTGAAAGGCCAACCAAGTCATCAAGCTGCCAAAGATTACATAAGTCACATTACCTGGAAAAGTCATATAAGAAACACAACCTTAAAAAATCATACAAACTCACCCACAGCTGTAAATTAGCTAGTCAAGTCAATTCATCCAATTCAAAGAAGCAAGTCATACCACCATGGCTAGCTATTTTGCAATCTTCAAATATGCTAGCCACACAGTCTTGTCCATCAGTCTCACATAATCAAATCCTGTCCACCAAACCCTCCAGTATAAAGAAACCGAACCAGTCACATGGACACCATGATCTGAAAAAGCCAGTGAGTACAGGAAAGGCTGTGTTACCCAGGGGGCATCTATCAGACAAAGTTTGCTGTTATTATCAGGAAAAATGCCTTATTTGTAATACTTCTGGACTTCTCAGTGATCTTTTGGGGCCAAATAAGGAACAGGTTGGAAATCCTCATGTTTCAAGGAAAATGAAGCCATCTCCCAAGTCTTTTTATGAAACAGATCATAAGTACAGTACAATTCTTATCAAGACAATGAGAGCAATGATACTATGAAATCACAGGATAGTGAAAATAGTGATGCAGAGATAGTCATTTATTTGTGACACAAGTCATGAAGAGGATGACATGGCTAAAGGCTCCTTACATTATTAAGGACTTAAAACAATTTAATCTACATACAGAGTATCCACATGTAATCACTATCAAGAATAGACCTATCTTTCTTGAAGGCAATTAAATGCATGTCATAACAAATTATTATTGTATTTATCATTGCATCTCATCGGCTCAAGATTCATTTGGTGTATCTTATTTATATGTGGTCACTTAAATGGGAATCATACATGTACATACAAATCTAGAAAGAAATTTTAAGATGGATATGCTTAACTGCTCTTTCCCCTGAATTAGCTCTCAGTGAAAGGCCCAATTTGACATTATTTATGGAGCTTTTTTTTTCAGTGCTGAGGAGTAAACCCAGAGTATCATGTGTGCTAGTCAAGTAGTCTACCAATGAGCTTTGTTAGCACTTGAAAATGTATTTTTAATTTTTTAGATTAATTTTTTTATTATTTTATGTGTATGAGTGTTTTGACTCTATATATGCCTGGGCACCACTTGTGAGCCTGGTGCTCAAGGAGGCCAGAAGAGAGATTCCCTGGAACTGGAGCTACATACAATTATGAGCTGCCATGTGGATGCTGAGAATAGAAACTGGTACTCTGGGAGAGCTCTTATCCACTGAGCCATCTCTTCAGGCCCTGGAAATGTATTTCTAAATTTTTATTTTCTGAGTTGGAAGTCAAACCCAAGACAATGAATACTAGGCAAATGTTTTACCATAGAACTATACTCCCAGTCCCTGAAGTAATTTTCAGTTGCGGGGGTGGGATATGTGGTGCTGGTAATTGTAGCTGGAGAGTTTTCTCTCTGGGTCCCACCAAATCCCGGCAGTCCCTTAGCCCACTTATAAAATAAACATACAGACATATTATTTAAACTGCTTGGCCATTAGCTCAGGCCTATCATTGTCTAGCTCTTACTCTTATATTTAGCCCATTTCTATTAATCTATACTTTGCCACGTAGCTCGTGGCTTATTGGTACCTTACATCTTCCTTGTCCTGGCGGTGGCTGTAGTCTCCCCCTCTGCCTTCCTGTCCCCTAATTTTCTTCTCTGTTAGTCCCACCTATACTTCCTGCCTTGCTACTGGCCAATCAGTGTTTTATTTATTAACCAATAAGAGTAAGACATTTGCTGTACAGAACATTCCACAGCAGGTAATGGAATCCAGAACCTTGCACATGTTAGGCAAGCTCTCTGAGTGACATCCCCAGCTCTACTTTTTAATATTTATGTGGAAAATACATGGTTTAAGACTGTGTCTTTCTCTATAGGACATAGTGCTTGTTAGAAATAGCTCTGTACTATGGAAATAGCTTGTATTTGCCCCAAATTCATGTGGTTGAAACCTAATACTGTATAGAATGGTTATAAAGTCCTTCAGTGGGGTCATAAAAATAGAGCATGTCATGAATGGGATTTGTACCTCTATAATGAGCTGAAGAGCATGCTTCTGCCCTGTGAGACACAGTAAAAAGGTTCCATCTATGAATTATAGAGCTGGCCTTCACTAGACATCTGCTACTGCCTTAAGTTTGGAATTCCCAGACTTCAGAACTGTAAGAAATAAATTTGCTACTTACAAGCCACTCAATTTATGGTATTTTGTTATAGACTCCAAACTGACTAAGATTCTCAATATTGCTTCCTTCTGGATGATTTAGAAAAATCCCTAACAACCAGTTCTAAGCACACCTCCTCCTCTAGAGATTGCCACCTAAATGGAGGGCTCAACCTACAGCACACACTCCTGGAACTCTATGATATCCATCCAAATGTTGGAATTAACTCAGCAACTAACTTGCTGTAGCTAGTAAGGGCAAGGGGCCCATAGTGAAAACTACACACTGATTATAAATATCATAATGAAAACACATGTTCGGGTCCAAAGGAAGGCTAGGGCCAAAACAATAAAGTTGGGGGCTGGAGAAATAGTTCAGCAGTTAAAAGCACTTAACTACTTAAGCAGAAGACCAAGATTTAATTCTCAACACCCACATGGCTACTCACCATGGCCTTTAACTCCAATTCCAGGGGGTATAACTCCCTCTCCTGGCCTTTACCAGCTTCTGCACATATGTGTTATACATAAACTCATGCAGGCAAACACATACACGTAATGGAAAATCCAAAGAAACAAGTTCTGTAAAATATCAGCCAAATATTTTCCTAATTGTTATCTATGTACAATTCACAATTACTCATGTACTGTTTTGATCTTGGAAATAAGAATTAAAAATATTATTTTCACCAGGCATGATGGCACATGCCATTAATCCCATCACTAGGGAGGCAGAAGTAAGCATATCTTTGTGAGTTTCAGGCTAGTTTGTCCTTTATAGCAAGTTACAGGCCAACCAGAGAACTACAAAGAGACCTTGTCCCAAACAAACAATAATATTAGCTTTGTAATTACTCATATTATGCATAGAATGAGCCATCTCTGAAGTAAATGAGGGCTGGTTATAACTTATACCTGAGAACTTTCAGAGTTTTACTTGCTTAGAACTGTCCACTTATCTAAGTCCAAATACATTGAAAAGACTGCTGAAGGTGAGGAAATAAACTGTCAAGAATCTGTCATACACAATTTGCTTTTAAAATAAAACATAAGGATAATATAGTCACGTTCCCTGGACATTAAAAATTCATTAATAAAAAGCCACTATCATTAATCACTTCCCTTACACGTATCTTTTCATGGGCTTTTTTTTTTTTTTTTTTTTTGGTTTTTTGAGACAGGGTTTCTCTGTGTAGCTTTGGAGCCTTTCTTGGAACTCACTCTGTAGACCAGGCTAGCCTTGAACTCACAGAGATCCACCTGCCTCTGCCTTCCAAGTACTGGGACTAGAGGCATGCACCACTCCCACCCAGCTTAAAATGGGCTTTTTTTTTGTTTTTTTTGAGACAGGGTTTCTCTGTGTAGCTTTGGAACCTGTCCTGGAACTCACTCTGTAGCCCAGGCTGGCCTCGAACTCACAGAGATCTGCCTGCCTCTGCCACCCGAGTGCTGGGATTAAAGGCGTGTGCCACCACTGCCCGGCTGGGCTATTTTTTAAAAATATTTTTATTTTATAATTAATTTAATTTTACATATCAGCCATGGATTCCCCTGTCCTCCCTCCTCCCACCCCCCAGTCTTACCCCCCAATCCATCCACCATTCCCACCTCCTCCAAGGCAATGTCTTCTCTGGGGAGTCAGCCCAGCCTGGTAGATTCAGTTGATGCAGGTCCAGTCCCCTCCTCCCTACACCAAGGCTGAGCAAAGTGTCTCAGCATAGGCCCTAGGTTCCAAAAAGCCAGCTCATGCACCAAGGACAGGTCCCGGTCCCACTGCCTGGGGGCCTCCTAAACAGTTAAAGCTAATCAACTGTCTCACTTATCCAGAGGGCCTGGTCCAGTTCCATGGGGGCTCCTCAGCTATTGGTTCACAGTTCATGTGTTTCTACTAGTTTGGCTATTTGTCCCTGTGCTTTTTCCAATGATGGTCTCAATATCTCTTGCTCATATAATCCCTTCTCTCTCTTGCCGATTGCGCTCTTGGAGCTCCACCTAGGGCTTGGCTGTGGATCTCTGCATCTGCTTCCATCAGTCACTGGATCGCCCAACGACAGAGAAATGGATGAGATCTACATGAGCAAACTGGGGGTGAGGGGGTAATGGAGGGCAAGGGTCGGGGGAAAGAGAGCTTAGGGAAGCAGGAGGTCCCAACTGGATCAGGAACAGAGTGGGAGAACAAGGAAAGAGATACCATGATAAATAAAGACCCCATGGGAATAGGAAGAAGCAGAGTGCTAGAGAGGTCCCCAGAAATCCACAGAGATACCTCCACAATAGACTACTGGCAATGGTCGAGAGTGCCTGAGCAGACCTACTCTGGTGATCGGATGGCCAAATACCCTGTCATGATAAAATGGGCTATTTTTAAAAACATTTTCTCACTGTATAGTCCACACTGGCCTGGAACTTCGCAAGTAGCCCCAGCTGACCTGGAACTCTTAATTATCTTGTCTCAGCCTCCTGAGTGCTAGGATTACAAAGGTGTACACTTGGCTTGGCTGCTTTTAAAATATTGCATTGAAGCCAGGAAATGGTGGCTCATGTCTTTAATCCTAGCACTCTGCAGGCAGAGGCAGGCAGATCTCTGTGAGTTTGAGGCCAGCCTGGTTTACAGAGTGAGTTCCAAGACAGCCAGGGCTACACAGAGAAACCCTAACTTGAAAAAAAATTTCATTGAAATGACCAAAAAATAGATAACTGTAAATACATAAATAATATATGAGGTTATAAGATAATCTGTAATTATATAAAATTTAGGCCTGGAAATACTGAGAAATGACCATATTTATCATCAGTAGACTTCCTTTACTCTCTCTGGCATTTTGCAAAGTAAGAAAATCAATGTCAAATTGTGTGGTTACATAGTAGGACACAAGAATTATCCTTAAGCTTCTTGCTTTTTACTTCTGAATGTTCATCTACATGAAGCTGCTAAAAGAAAATTCTTGAGTGCTACAAGAGCAATGGCATGCATTATAGATTATTACAATAAAGATAGGCAACTTCAGAGAGTGATACTGGTTTGAAAAGGTAATATATTGCTTCTGTGTGAATACGTCTCTTATAAAACTTGGTTTAATAGAAGGAACAGAGATGATAAAGTAGGATTGTCAAATATAAAGCTTTCCAGGATAGTAAGATGTGGTGATATATTGTGTACCCTAATAAAATTTACCTGAAGATCAGAGAACAGAACAAGCCATGAAATTAAACATAGAGGCCAGGCAGTGGTGGCATACACCTTTAATCCTAGCACTAGGAAGGCAGAGATCCATCTGGATCTCTGTAAGTTCAAAGCCACCCTGGACTACATGAGATTGACTCAGTCTAGGAGAGAAAACAGCCATGCAGTGGTGACACACACCTTTAATCCCAGTACTGGGAAGCACACACACACATTAATCCCAGGAAGTGATGGCT